TTCTAGATTATAAGAATGACTTGCAAAACTCTGTTTAAATGAACTTTTCATCAGTCTTATATAGCTTTTTTTATGCAAGGGAGTATATCTATCCCTACTCAGATATACTATTGTTTATCCCAAATGCTCAAAAATCATGAGCCAAGAACCCCCCTAAAGTAAGACTAGCTTAAAAATCATTAGATTTTTTAAAAAAAACGACTAGCTTAAAAATCATTAGATTTTTTTAAAAAAAAATACATTTGATGTTTTGTTTACTTGCTATCTAGTTTTTGAGCCTTTGGAAAACACTTTGGTCAAATTTCCAAGCTTTACATCATGCACATAGAGGCTGAAAAGTTACTTTTTAAAAGTAACTTTAAAAGACAAGAGCAGAGTGGCACATGCCTCACAGCTGGGGGTCTATGAAAGTCACCAAATATTGTGAGACTTGCACTAAGTAACTAGAGTCAGTAACTTATTATGTATAAGGGTCTCAGCTGATATATTCCATTTTAACATCATTAAAGCTAAGTATATAAAACTATCCCCCTTCCCCATGAAGAATATCCCTACGTAGGAGCTGTGAGTGTACTTCTCAGCATTGTTTCAGACACACTGCTTGTGCTAGTGAAATAAAAATAGCTGGCAGGCCCCAGCAGTTCAGATTAGCCCCTTTTTATATGTAGTCAGAGGTTTGGGCAGGAGCATACGCAAGTGGCTAGCAGAGCTGCTTCCTGTGTCACAGCACCACACTGCTATTTTTAGCATGCTAACTCAAACTGAGCTAGCTTGTATCAGCCTACTCATTGCTATGTAGAAGTACCCTGAGTGTGAGCAGGCGTAGTGACAAGCACACGAATAACGTTCTCTATTTAAGTGACGAGCCATTGATTTCAGTGGCACTGAGTCTTTAGCACGAGTGATTTCCACTAAGCAATACGCTCGTTCATGTAACTAAAGTCAAGTTGTGCTTAAGTGCTTTGCTGGATTGAGCCTTAGTCAGGGCCATCAAGAACACAATTGTAAGCTCCTCTCCCATGCATTGGTTTAAGTCAGTAGGAACTCCATTGAAGGCCACAAATTTACACCAGGATAAACATGAGAAAGATCGGGAACACAGTCAAAAGTGCAAACATAAAATCAATAAAAATATACAAACAGCCAAATTTTGTTTGCTTGCTTGCATTGAAAGCTTTTAATTTAAAAATCACCGTTTAATTTGAAACTGTAACCTAAGAAAACCCCTCCAAACCCAAATTATTCTAGACTACCTGATGTCTACAAAACCCTAGTCATAAGGTATAATTCACTAAACAAGCAAAGCCAGAAGGTAATGGCTTTGCATCTTATAGCAGGTCAGATTTATTTACCTTTGTCTGACAGTATGTTGTGCAAGACTCTAGGGGATAAGAGATGTCAATCTGTATAGCAAAACATATTCCTTCTTCACATTGTTGAACGCAGGACTGTACTAGTGTCATCAAAATGTGAAGTTGTCCTCTTTTTCATGAAGTTATTGTTTACTAAAGCAGATGAAAGTTTTGAGCTGTGAAGCTGATTCAGACAAAACTTTCAGATCAGATATGCTGATTTAAGTGGTGGCTTACTCCTATTCCCATTAAAAACCAGTGGCAAAACCAACCCATTAAAAACCAGTGGCAAAAACCATTAAAAACCAG